CGGTGGGTCTGAGAGGCCCTAGGACCACACAGGCTTTTCTTTTTTTTACTGTTTTGAGATGGAGTTTTGCTCGTGTGGCCCAGGCTGGAATGTGGTTCACTGCAACCTCTGCCTTCCGGGCTAAGCAATTCTTCTGCCTCAGCCTCCCTAGTAGCTGGGATTACAGGCGTCCGCCACCACACCCAGATAATTTTATGTATTTTTAGTAGAAACAGGGTTTCACTATGTTAGCCAGGCTGGTCTCGAACTCCTGACCTCAGGTGATCCACCCACCTCAGCCTCCCAGAGTTCTGGGATTACAGGTGTGAGCCACTGCACCTGGCTCAACACACAGGCTTTTCTTCTGGAATCACTCGTGGTGAAGTGCTGTGTTCAGCAAATAGAAAAGTGATTACTCCCTTTCAATATGCAGAATTGATACTTTTTTTAAAAAGTGCATTTTTAGTAAAATTAGACCAAGCATGGTGGCTCACGACTGTAATCCCAGCCAGCACTTTGGGAGGCCAAGGTGGAAGGAATGCTTGAGCCCAGGAGTTCGAGACTATTCTGGGGCAACATAGTGAGACCCCATCTTCACAAAAAATAGAATTATCCGATGTGGTGGCACAGATCTGTAGTCCCAGCAACTTAGGAGGCTGAGATGAGAGGATTGTATGACTCCAGGAAGTTGAAACTGCAGTCAGCTGTGGTCACGCTATTACACTCCAGCCTGGGTGACAGGCTTAATCCCTGTCTCAAAAAGGAAAAGGTAAGAAAATTACCTTGGGCTCATGTAGAAGTCATGCTTGCATTTTTCACCAGGAATTACATCTTTTGAGCAGAGTTGAGTAGTTGATTTTGGAATTGTGCCATTTGTATATACCACAGCATTTTTGCCAATGCGTATATTTTGGCTCTAAAAATAGATTGCGAAAAAGAGATGGGATTGCTTCTCTTTGTATTGTTGGCAGACCTATTGGGCAACATTTAATCATTTCAGGCTGGACACGGTGACTCCCGCCTGTAATCCCAGCACTTTGGGAGACCATGGCAGGCGGATCACTTGAGGTCAGGAGTTTGAGAGCGGCGTGGCCAACATAGCGAAACCCTGTCTCTACCAAAAAAAAAATTACAAAAATTAGCCAGGCATGGTGGCTTACACTTGTAATCCCAGCACTTTGGGAAGCTGAGGTGGGTGGATTGCCTGAGGTCAGGAGTTCAAGACCAGCCTGGTGAACATGGTGAAACACTGTCTCTACTGAAAATACAAAAATTAGCTGGGCTGAGGCAGGAGAATCACTTAAACCTGGGAGGCAGAGGTTGCAGTGAACTGAGATCACACCACCGCACTCCAGCCTGGGCCACAGAGCGAGACTCCATCTCAACAACAACAACAACAAGAAAAATCAGAATTCTAATGTTTTATTTTTCCAAGGGAAAATTTGCCCCAAACTGGATATTAGAAAAACTCCTATGGCCAGTTTTTGCAGTGCAAACCAAAACCACTATTCCTTTTTCTTTTTTTGGTATTAACCTTTTAAGATCACTTTTTAAGCTGGGCCCGGTGGCACATCCTTATAATCCCAGCACTTTGGGAGGCTGAGGCGGGTGGATCACCTGAGGTCAGGAGTTCGAGACTAGCCTGACCAATATAGTGAAACCCCGTCTCTACTAAAAATACAAAAAATTAGCCAGACGTGGTGGTGGGTGCCTGTAATCCCAACTACTCGGGAGGCTGAGACAGGAGAATCTCTTGAACCCAGGAGGCAGAGGTTGCAGTGAGCCGAGATTGTACCATTGCACTCCAGCCCAGGCAACAGTGTGAGATTCTGTCTCAAAAAAAAAAGACCATTTTTTAGTAAATTATGAATTATTTGCATTATTTTTCTTCATACCTCATGCTTCAGTAGGACAATTGATATCTTTGTTCCTCAATTTTATTGATGTATAATTTACATACAACAAAATGTGTATTTTAATAGATTTTTGAATTTTGACAAATACGTACATCTTTATAACCAGCACCCTGATCAAGATTTCTGTAATTATCAAAATATCTCATGTACCCCATAAATATATATACCTACTGTGTACCTACAAAAATAAAAAAATTAAAGAAGATTTCTGTAACTTTGACCCCCTTTTGTAGCTACCTCCCACCTATAGCCTTAGGCAACCATGAATTTGCTTTCTCTGACTATAGATGGCATTATTCTTTTTGGCAAACTTTTCCTGTAAAGAGCCAGATGGAATAATTTCATTTATACTCTTAAGTGAGGCTTCTCTTGCTCAGTATAATGTATTTCAGTTTATCCTCGTTGTGTACGTTGTCAGTAGTTCATTCTTTTTTTTTCTTTTTTTTGAGA